CCCTGGGAGTCCTAGAGGGTTTGGGGACCGATGAGGGGAGGGGCGGTCCTGAGAGCCGGGAAGAGGGGCGGGCACGGAGCTGGGGGGAGACCCGGCCCCCAGCCCCTCAGGCCACGTCTGGCTGTACCTGCGGACGCTTGTGTCGCTGAGCTCCCCAAAACCGGCTTTTCTGTCCCGGCCAAGGGAGACCCGGCAAGGGCTCTGCTCGTGGCGTTTCCACGTCCTCTGCGCCGGGGCAGGCTGGGCAGGTGTGGCCGCGGGCAGGCCGGGGAGGCCGCTGCGGAGCGGTCTGCCCTGGGGTACACGCGTCCTGTCCGCCTCCTTCCTGGTGCGGGGCGGGTGCCGGCTCCACCCACGTTCCCATGTCAGGGCACCACGTCGACGCCAGAGCTGGCCACGTGGTCGGGCCCAGGGTGGTATTTCCCGCCCGGAGAGAACTGTCCGTTGCCGACAGCCAAGGATGGCACGCACGTTGTTTTCCACGCCTCAGCACCCGTGGACGCCAGTCACGCCACCGGCCGTGGGGTCGTGGCTGAGACGCAGGTGGGGACGACGGCAGCCAAGGCAAGGGAGGAGAGGTGTCTTTTCAGTGGCCATTTAGACGGCAAATCTTGGGCTCGGGCCATCAGAGCACCTGGTGTCCCTTGTGCTGATGTGAGGGATGCCAGGCAGGCGTGCTTGACCTTGCTACCCGTGTCACGGCTGCCTCCTGGGGCACTTCTACCCACGTGGGGCTCGAGGCTACCAGCCCTGTGCTCATTCTGAGCTGCAAAGGGCCGCCTTATTCTGGAACCCCGGGGCCTTGTGTGGCCAGGCACGTCTTCCTGCACAGCCCCAGCGTTCCTGCACGGGCTCCACGGTGGAGCTGTCCGACTGCCAAAGAACCCTCTAGAGTCCAGCCTGCCCAGCCCTCTGAGGACAGGGTGTCCTTGATGAAACCACCCCTCCCCCCTGCTGGTGTTTCTGAGCCCTGACCTCGGTTCCTTGCCCTGCACACTCTTGTGTCTCCCCTCCCCCCCACCCCCCCACCCCCATCCCACCAGCTTCCCTGTGCTGGTCTTTTGTGGAAATCCTGTCCACATAGGAGTGAAGACTAAACCGACTCTTGCCCGGGCTCTGCCTTAGACTAGGGGAGTTTGTTCAAGTCCTCACATACTTCGTAGGGTGCGTCCGTGTGGGTTCTCTTTTAAGCAAAAACAGGCACGTGTGTGTTATTTTACGTTGATGTGGAATTGGGGTGGAGCGAGGTGTCCTTCCCGAACCCCTGAACCCCAGAGGCCTCTGGGCTTGCGTGCTTGGCTTGCGTGCACTGGACCTGGCCGGTGGGCTTGAGAACTCAGCCCTCAGACTCGCGCGCGCCGGCAGAGAGCAGAGGCCAGGGCGGAGGCTCAAGGTCACTCTGCCCTTGTCTGAACTTGGGGCCAAAACACAGCAGGAGGGCAGCCGGAGCCAGCCTGGTCTCTGAGCAGGTTCTCTGCCCACTCGAGGGAGCCGAACAGTTCGTGGTCACAGAACGGAGATCGGAACTGTGTGTGTCTGAAGGGCTCCTCCAGAGCGCGTTAGCCTCGAGGCGCCTGGCTGACTCACACGCGGTGGGGGACCGTTTGGGTGGCGCGTGGGGCGCCTGCGCACAGGAGTCCTTGGTTACTCCCTGGAAATGAGCCGGAAAGCCATTGGTATAAATGGCATGCTTCATTTTGTTGTTTTGTGTTTTATGTGTAAAAAACACGGTTTTTAAAAATAAGGCTTACTGTCCCCAGTTTAAGGGTAGTAACAGTCAAGTGTGAGCATCGCGGGAAAGTAATTAGGAGAATGAAGTCCCTGCCACCAATCAGGAGAGGCCGTCCTCAGCTCTGCTCACCTGAGCGGGCGAAAGCACTGGATGCACCTGTGCCCCCTGGGGTTGTGTGGTGACCCACGGGGGCCTCTGCCTGGTTCCACGCGTCACCGTCTTGCAGTTCATTCTTTCATTGACGTAAGTGTTTCCTGAACCAAGTGCCCAGAGGCGGAGATTAATTCCTGTTCGGGATCAACACGGTCTGTTCACAGAGAACTGCTGCTGCTGAATCCTGAGCTGCTGCCGCAGTAGGGGCCTTCTTTCTCTGAACACGCTCTTGAGATCCCCAGTCAAATCATGTGCCAGTTAACAGGGGCCCCAGCTGGGAGAAGTAACACACTCCTCACAGCTGCCCTCTGGTCCCCGGAGGGCCCGTCCGGGCTGTCCTTCTGCCGCCGAGGACCCCAGAGCTCAGGGGCGCCTGGATCCAAGAGCCTGCTCTACCTACCTAGGGCCTAGCGGGTGTAGACCGGGTCCTTTTCTGCTCATAGTCTGGTTCAGGCTATATCGTTACTAATGCAGTGCCTACAAAGAACGAGTAAATTCTAAAATAAATAGGTGCTGTTTGCAGACTAATTGTGTATTCGGTGGTTTAGTGGAGTCGTTTCAGGGCCACTTGACAAGAGGCCATTTCCTTTGTCTCTATGAGCAGGCTGCCGGTGAAAATAGTCCCCTGCGGAGCTGGTGGCCTGGGGTGGCCGTGGGTCTGTGGGCAGCTGACTCTCCGTGACCTCCGAGGGCAGAGGTCATGGCTTGTTCGCCCTGACCGCTGCCTCGTGTGCGTTTTCACCTGAGCGGGTCCGCCTGGAGCCAAGATGCTTCCTTACCTGAAGGAAAGCGGCCCTGCCCGGCGAGGCCCCCCGCGAGCACCTGGACCCGGGCTTTGGGCTCTGCGCCGGGAGGGGCCAGGGCCGGTGACGGGGGGGGGGGGGGGGGCACGGGCACCCCGACAGGTGCGGCGGGGGCGGGGCCGGCGGAGTGGGCGGGTTGGCCGGAGGGTTGCGTCACCCGGGGCGGCCCGGCGGGGGCGGGTGTAAGGCTTACGTCACCGGGGGCGGGACGGACCCGAGGGTTACGTCACCCGGGGGCGGGGCGGCGCAGGGAGGGCGGGGAGCGGGCTGCGTTTGAATCGGCGGCGGCGGCGCGGTAGACGGTGAGTCAGCATCGTCAGCCCCGCGCCGCCAGGGTGCGGGTCGTCGTTATGCGGAACTGGCTGTGCACCCCCGGCGAGGTGAGAGCCAATCCCCTCTCTCGACGCGCCTCCCCGCGAGGCCCGCGAACCGCCCCTCCCCAGGTGCGCCGCACCCCCACGTGCCAACCCCCCCAGGTGGGGTGCGTCTCCCACCACCCCACCCCACCCCACCCCCTGCTCCTTCCCGCTCCCTCCCGCTCCCCCGGGGGCCTCCTCCCCAGGCGCGCCACGCCTCGCCCTCCCCCCTCCTCCCCAGGTGCACACCTCCTCCTCTCCAGGTGCTCCTCGGACCCGCTCCGGTCGCCCGCCCCCGGGGCCGAGAGTGACCGCCGGGGTCAGCACCGGGTTCCGCGGAGGCTCTGCGAGGAGGCGAAGGCGAACGTCCCCTTTCTGGGCACCTGCTCGGCAGAGGCGCCCTTTGGTCCCCTGCGTGGGCGCGCCGCAGGGCTTCTCCGGGGGAGGGGGGCCCGCGTTACCTAGCCGAGGTGGGTCTTTTGCTCCGCAGCGAGGACCGGGTTCCTGCCTTGTCCTGCCGAGAACCGTCGGCTGCACCGTCGGAAATTGAGGCCGGTGGGTGGGTGGGTGGGTTTGCTAGGCGCTTCACCCTGCGGTCAGGGCATGTCGGCCTGCGGGGTGAGGGCATCCCGGCCGCGGCGGGCGCGCGTGTTAGGAGCGCGCCCGGCGTCGGGGCTTCCCCGTTCTGTCCTGTGTGCATTGTCCCTGCGCGTCCCTTGACCCCAAAGGACCGCGTCGCCTTTCGGATGTGCTGTGTCATGTCAGGGTCGGGGTTTTGCCAGGGCCGTTACTCAGCAGTTCTCCCGCGATTTCTCATTAACATCTGGGCGGTTCCTGGCAGTTGGGCAAGGCGGGTTTTGGGTCAGAGGCAGAGCTTACGTAACTCGGTTCATCTGGATCTTGAGTGTTAAAGCCTCTTTGAAAGTCAGCTCTTCCTTGAAGAGAACATCCCAGAAGACCTGGGTCTGAGTCAGAGAGCCGAGAGGTGCAGTAGGCGCGGGACCACCGCGGACACCCAAGCAGCCAGGGCACCCTGGCTGCGGCCGCTGTCCGGTGGGGGCTGGCTCCTCCCTGTCGCTCTGGACCAGGGGGCTTCTTTGTGCTGAGTCATGGGGCGGGGGTCGGGGAGTGTGATAAGGCTGGGTCTTTTCAAGGTGAGGAAAAGCTCTTGCTTCAGCTTGTTTTCCTCATCCGTCTCTTCATTTCTGGTTTTGTTATTCAGGAAGTGGTTCTGGAACTTTGTTGGCGTTAAAGCACACCACCCGTCAACCCCTCCTGAGACCCCAGGTGCTGAAAGCTAGATCCGTGTCGTCAGGCCTGGCCGGCCTGCAAGTCCGGGCCGGAGGCCCAGGGGGCACGAGGGGCCAGGGCCAGGGGTGGGGGGCAGAGCAGGTGGTGGACAGGTGGGGGTAGAGCAGGGGGTGTAGTGCTGGGGGGCGGGGAGGGCAGGGCGCCCTGCACCTGGTGCTGGTGCTGCATGGAGTGGGGACAGCCCGCGAGTTTTGGAGGCCCAGCAGGCGGTCTACCAGGACCCCTGGGGCCCCTGGAGGCTGCACCTGGCTGCAGCCTGGCATCAGCTGAAGGGTAGAGGAGAGGCTGGGGTGAGAGGAGCCTGGCCATAAGTGTCCACCAGTACACCAGGGGCATGTTCTTTGTGGGCAGTAGGACTCGACCTGCGGGGTTGGCCTCCTAGAAAGGTCACTCTTGGGACAGTGCAGGTGGGGGACGAGGGGCAGCCTGCAGAGATGGCTGGAGCTTGGGGCCCTCGCCAGCGAGGGTTCAGGGAGGATGGAGGGGCCGAGGGCTCCTGGCTTCTGCTCAGTGTCTGGGCCCTCGTGTCCCCAGAGTTTGAGAAGCTGCTGCTGAGGCAGTAGGTCCTCTCCCTGGTAGGAGGTGGTGAGGCGCCCTTGCTGGGAGATGCCGGTGTCTGAGGGTTAGGGCTGCCGAAGCCAGGCGTGTGTGTGTGTGTGTGTGTGTGTGTGTGTGTGTGTGTGTGTGCATGCGTGCATGCATGTGTGTGCACGCTCGTGGAGCAGGGACGGGACGGGACGGGCCAGGCCTCCAGGGCTGAGAAGTCGGCCATAGTGGAGGAGGGTGAGGGACCGGGTGTGAGGGTGGGCTGCCTTTGACCGGGGCCCGGGGGCATGGGTGCCAGCTGGCACGGCTTGGCAGTGGTTTGTAGTGAGGGGGAAGTAGGAGGTCAAGAAAGCGGGCATTGGTCAGCAAGGGGTGGGCCTGAGAGCAAGTGGGCCCTACGTTCACGGCAAGGGGAGACGGGTCTGCCTGGGGCGGGTGGCGGGGGGCACCCAGCAGTTCTGGGCCCTGGGCCTGCGGAAGGTGCCTGGTACCTGGAGACGATGGTTGCCGGGGGTGTCCATGGCCCCCATTATTGTGGGGTAAATTACGTGCCCCCAGAAAATACGTCTCTGTTCTGACCCCCCTCATCCCCCAATCTGTGAACACGACTGCTTGGATGCAGGCTCTGCAGGTGCAGTCAAGGTAAAGTGAGGTCATCGGGCTGGGACCTGATCCAGCGTGACTTGGGTCTGAATAAGAAGGTACTTTGGAGCCCACACAGGAGGCGGAGGGTGGGGTGGTGCATCCGCCAGCCCCAAGCAGCTAGACTGCGCCATTGGAGGAGCCCAGCCCCAGCCGTGCGCACGTTGTTCTGGACTTCCGGCTCCCAACCGCGAGAACGCATGAGTCGGTGCTCTGTCGGGGCGGCCCCTGGATGCAGATGCCCCTGTGCTCCTGGGCATCAGGAAGAGCGAGCCGGCCGGAGGCCCCTGCTGTAAAGGAAGGCCGGAGAAGCAAGCGTTGGGAGCCCGCCTTGGGGGCCGGGCCCCACGGGCGGGCGGGCGGTGTCTCCCGAGCGCGAGGGCTGCGGAGGGGGGGTCTTGGTGCCGCATTGGGCTCCCTGGGTCTCCCGGGCTAGGCCTCTTTGCTCTTCAGAGTGATTGGGGGATTTGAGGGTTCCGGCGCATGGGGGTGCCCGGACCAGCTGCCACCCTTCACGTTCGCCTCCTTTCGGGATGAGTCCCTCGCGAGTCTTTAAAAAATCTCTGTTGGAAGAGTGTTTCCTTTGGAGTGGGCAGGCCCGAGGCGGGCTGGGGTTCGTGCTACTGGCTGTGGCTGTGGAGTGGGTGCGGCAGTGGTGACGAGACAGACAGACCTCGCCAGGCAGCGCAGTGCTCTCCTGCCCAGACACTGGGTCCCCCACGTGTCCCCTTCATGCGCCGCAGAGGCCAGAGCCAGTGGCTCGCGGACGGCAGATGTGCTTGCAGCGCTCTGTGAACTTAGGCAGCAGGGGGCCGCTAAGTACCAGTGTTGGGTGAAGGGCTGTCCCTGCGGTCGGCTGAGTGGTGCCCAGCAGCCCTAGCGACAGGGAAGGGACGGCGCAGCTGGGGTCGCCCGCTGGGGCCGGACCTGAAGTCCGCACGCGTCCCGCAGCCGGCTTCTCGGGAACCTGCCTGCTCCTGCCACGAGCCCCCAAGCCCGTCTCTCCCCCCCCCCCCCCCCCCGTTTCTCCGGTAATCACGGTAAATGCCTCTCATTTGAAAGGTGGTGGCTTCTCCGCAGTCACTGGCGGGTTCAGCCTTCGCTCCCGGGTTGTAACGTGGTCGTTTGAAACAGGCCTGGCCTGCCTGCTGCCTCCTGGCACGTCTCTGGCACGGCTGCTTCTGTGATGTGGTCAGGAGTGTGGGCCCAGCCGAGGGCTGGACGTGGTCAGAGATGAGCAATGGCATCTCTCTCTGGTGGTTCTGACTTGGTGTCATTTGTCACACGGGGTTCAGGGCGCTTTTGACACTTTGCACTAGGAGGCTGGGGGCAGGAAAAAGGCAGAAGGCTCCAGAAGCCCGGCTCACGGACCCAGAGCAGGCAGGCTGTCCGGGGACAGGGCTCAGCCACACAGGAGAGGCCCACCTACTTCTGGGACGGGTGCTGGTGCCGGCGAACTTGTGTCTTCGGCGCCGCCGGGTCTTCTGTGGACCCAGCGCGTGTCCCGGGAGCGGGAATCACCAGGCCTTCCCGGCCCTCGCTGGACGGCCTGCGCGCTGTCCAGGTCCTCTGGCCGCTCGGCTGCTGGGACTTGGAAGCTTTGGGGGCTGGTGGGCCTGACCTCAGCAGCTCGGAGCCGGGGCCGTGTCACGTGGGGCCGGGGTGAAGGGAGAAGACCCTGCTCGCAGGAGAGGGTTTACGAGGAAATCTTCGGAAGTCGGGGGGCTCCAGGGGGCCCCACGTTGTTCCATTCCTCTGCTCTTTCACACGCGGGCCCCAGAAACTGTCCTAGTGCCGTGGGCTCTCTACTGAGGCTCTGGGGTCGCCCCGTGGTTACGCCGTGTTTTGTTAACAGGCCCCGCTGTGGATCTTCATCCCGGCGATGTCAGCCTCGCACCCCTAGATAAGGAGCTGGAGGAGCATGACTTGGGCGACCTGGGACCGGCAGGTAGGAGTGCTGACCCCCTGCTCTTTTCAGGGCCGTGCTGGGGCGGCTGGGCCCTTTCTTTGGAGAGCCGTTCAGTGGTTCTTGGAGGGGGTGCTCCCAGCACGCCGGTGCGCGGTCAGCCTCCCACCACCTTTGCAGCTGCTGTGGGCACACGTACCCTGGGACACCGTGTCCCCAAACGTTTGCCTTGTCTGCTGTGAAAATGAACCATTCTTGGGGGTCCCCGGATGTCCCAGGACCAGCATGCTGGCGGGTGGGTCAGCTGGGCAGGGCCTGGCAGGTGTCTGGCCTCCGCGGAGCCCCCGCCGAACCCCCGCCGAACCCCTCGCCCGTGAGCTCACTGCGCCAGGAGGGCGCGCCCACACGGTGGCTGCCCCCCTGGCCCCCGTGTGCCCCAACCCCCCGGGGTCACCCCCCAGCTTGGAGGCCAGGCGCCGTGTCTGGTGGTCAGCGCCTCCCGCTAACTCGGCCCCTCCGATCCGTGCAGGTCCGCGGTCGCCGGGGGGCTCGGCGCCCGTCACCATCCCCGGCCGCCTGCCCCGCTCACCGTCCCTGCTGTCGTCCCCGTCAGTGTCCGCCTCCCCACTCAGCTCGCTCTCCCAGTCTCTGTCGGGGCCCCTCGTCTCTTCGGCCATGACGCCCCCCCAGCAGCCGCCGGCCCTCACGTCGGAGCCCGGGGCGCTGGGCTCCTCGGCTGCGTCCTACAGCTCCTTAGGTGAGCCGGGCGCTGGCGGGGACGGTGGGGTGAGCTCGTCCCAGGGGGTCCCCTGGCCAGTCTGTGGGTTCGCTGGCGGTGCCTCAGGGCACGAAGCCCCGGCCTGTGCGTGGCCGGGACCCTGAGACACTGTTGTGACAACACATGGTGGCCCCGCTGTCACTCGTGTGCGGTGGAGGGCCTCAGGCTGGGGACGTCACTGGAGACCCAGCGCAGCACAGACGGGCAGAAACCGTGGACGGTGCTTCTTCCCTGGAAAACGTTCTTTCACGTGACTTGCTATGTTTTAAAGGAGTATTTTTAAGTATCGTTTTAATTTGTTATGTCACGAACACAGATCAGTAGGTGTCACCCCAGGCCCTCTGGGGTCCTCACGATTTGGAGGCGGAACGGGTTTCAGGGACCAGAGTTTGATGCCGCTGCGGCACACGATGCGACACTTGCAAATTCACTCCCTTCTCTGCCTCAAGCCACCCAGGCAGCCGGACAGGGGCCGGGTAGAAAGATCTGGGGCACGTGTCCTTGTCTGCCAAGCCCCAAAGGCTGCCAGGGAGGCGCTCCCGCTGGTGACCTCTCCCGTCTCGTCTTGTCCACACTCAGGCTTGAACGGCGTCCCCGGGAGCATCTGGGACTTTGTTTCCGGCAGCTTCTCTCCCAGCCCATCCCCCATCCTGAACGCCGGCCCTGCCCCCGCCTCAAGCGCCAGCCCGAGTGGAGCGGAGCTGGCCCGGGTCAGGCGGCAGCTGGACGAGGCCAAGAGGAAGATCCGGCAGTGGGAGGAGTCCTGGCAGCAGGTGAAGCAGGTGAGCCGGGAGGGGCCGGGGCGCAGGGCCACCGGGACAGGCGCAGGCGCGTGGGGGCTCCCCCTGCACCGGCCGCTACAGCGCAGCCCCCTGGGTTTCAGGCCTGTGACGCGTGGCAGCGGGAGGCCAAGGAGGCCAAGGAGCGGGCGCTGGCGGCCGACAGTGCGCGGCAGCTGGCGCTGCAGAAGAAGGAGGAGGTGGAGGCCCAGTTCCGGAGGCTGCGGGAGGAGCTGGAGGGCCGAGGGCCGGGCGCCACGCTCCCGGGGCTGCCGCGCTGTGCCGACCTCGGAGCCACCCCCCTCCCCAAGCTGCACTCGCTGCAGACTCGGCTGCGCCTGGATCTGGAAGCCGTGGACGGGGTGAGTCCGGGGGCCACAACCCTCTTCCTTCCCCGCCTGCCGGCCCTGCCCTCCGGCCCTGCCCCGCGCGGTCCAGAGTCACCCTCCAGAGTCACCGTGGCATCTCGGCCTGTTCCACGCTTGGTGTTCTCTGCACTCAGCTACAGACCCCTTCCAGGCCAGGGCTTTGTGTTAGAACCTGGAGCATCTGAAGGTTCCAGAGCCCTGTCTCTTGCACACTCTCTCCCTCCATTGGTCTGAGGTGCAGCTTCCCCACTCCCCCTCCAGCTCTGGCTGCCCTCTTGGCCGCTGGGCTTGGTCCCGGGTCAGGGATCTGATGAGCCCAGTCCCGTGAGCCCGCCTGCTGGCCACAAGGCACAGGTGTGGGCCTCCATCTGGGCCCAGCCCATCGAGGCGGCCACCGGCCTGGCCACCCCTTCCCACGCTGGTGCGGCAGCTCAGCTCCCTGGTCCTCGTGAAGGATCTCCCACCCCTGCCTTTGTTCCGGGGCGTCCCCGGTCCTGCCGGTGGGTCACCTGGGTCTTGCCCCGCAGGTGATCCTCCAGCTTCGAGCCAAGCAGTGCGCCGTGTGCCGGGAGCGGGCCCGCGGCGGCGCCCTGCAGCCCTGCGCCTGCTGCGAGGGCCCACCGCTCCCGTGGTGACCGCCGCGTCCTCACCGGCCCCTCGGGCGCCCCCGGGCTCCGGAACGACGGGGGCTCGCGGACCTGACGCACCGGGACCCTGACCAGCACTTTGTAAACCGGGGGATTTAGGCGTTCTAAGTTGCTGTAAGCTGCTTCCTAGGTTCGTGATTTTTTTACTACGCGGTAACATGAAGCTTTGTATGTGTACTGTGAGCTGAGGACATTTGCTGTCAGTTTCTTGTTAATTCACCCTATGGTAAAGACCTTTGATTTCCTCTTCTGAAATTAGTACTTCTGAGATGAGCGTTTATCTGGTAGTGAGAAACACCTAGGACTTCTCAATAGTTTCCAAATTAAGTACAGACATAGTATTTATAGCAGTGAGACTGAAAGACACATCTAGGGTTTTAGTTTTGTGAAAGGGACGCTCTCGATGGCGTGCACGCGCACATTAATTGGAGGTTTGTATTCCAGGCCCGTGAAATGGCGTTGCGCCTGATTTGCCCCATGACCCGTGGCCACTTTTTCTAAGTGCCTGAGCCTTGCAAAAGGAGCGAAGGAGGCCCTTCGCGCGGGTCCGTTCTCTCCTCTAGTGAGCAGCACGGCGGGGGTGCCCGTTGGTGGAGGCTTCCGCGTTAGTTTTACAAAGCTGTGCCTCGGCACCGTAGCCTCTGGAGCCTGCTGGAGGGCGTCCCGGCTCCTTCGCGGGCAGCCTGAGGCCAGAGACTCGCTCATGCCCCTCCCTGCGACCAGACAGACGCCCGCCGGGGAACCCTGCCTGCAAGGGAGAGGCTCACAGGCCGCGGTGTAACCCAGGTATTACCAGGGTCGCTCGGGGGACCCCAGGGTTGCAGAGAGAACCTGGCTGCCCTGCCGTGGCAAAAACACTCCCGAGAACAGGTCTGGTTTTGGTGAGGACCAGAATCTTCTCTGGTCTGCACTGGGTCATTTTTCCTAGCAATCTGGGGAGAAGCAAAAGAGGTGAGTGGTCTACCCAGACTTTGCTCTCCCCGAGGCACATCTCGATGGCTGCAAGATCTTTCCCGAACCTGCCGCTGGGGTGGGAGCAGGTCACCGCCCCTCTGGCCTGGAAGTGAGCGCCGGTGCCTCTCGGCCCACTGTGGCTTTGCCAAAGACTTTTAATAGCATTTTTTAAAGCGCAGAATGGCTCGGTAAAAATTATCAGTGACCAAATATTTAGTAAGAGGTTTAAAACATTTTTAACGTAAGACAAAGCGATAGTTCTGTCCTTTAAGGGGGGCCCGTGGCGGGCTGCAGCGAGTCCACTACTACAGGTGACCATCGACTTGGTTTTAGTGAATCGACTTGGTTTTTAATGATAGTGATGATGATTTATTAGCTCTTAGAAATGACGTATATTTTGTGCTACTGTTACCACCGTTTAAAATTCTTTATTTTTATTAATATTTATGTACTTGTTTCACATTTCAGACCTTTGGTCTTTTATGGGAAACAGAACAACGTTTTTATTGTGGGTCCCCAGCCTCGGCATCGTCAGATGACAAACCGGGAACAGCCCGCGTGCTCCCCATAGGCGGCTCGGGCGGGCCCCGCTCAGCAGGCAGACCAGGCGGGGCTGCAGCGTCGCGGGGCCCCTCGGCCCCGCCTGAGCCGGTCCTTTCTGCCCGGGGTCTTGGCTGTGGCGGCCCTGGTCTCCTGCAGGAGGCGTCCCTACCCCGCAGGCCTCACGGGCTGGGCCACCGCCCTCGCACGGGTGACGGGAGCACTGGGTGTGGCGTTAGCCATCACGGGGCACCTTATGGCCTCCGGCTGTTTGGAACTGGGGTCGGCAGAAGACCTCAGCTCAGTGTGGACACTTCACGTGGATTAATTTATGGAAGCCTCAATCTCTCTTTGTTCTGAGTATTTAGAGGAGGTCGTTACTGGAATGAATTTTCTTAACCCAGAAGGTAGTATTTATAAAGCATAATCATTTACTTGTAGTGAACCGTTCCAAGTTAACACTTGTTTAAATTTTTTTACACTATAGCATTTATGCAACGGTTTACAGAATTCATGGAATTATTTTTATCGGTATGGAAATGAATTAAAACTTTGAATCTTTATTCTGTCTGCCTCTTTGAGCTGATGCTGATGGCCGGCCGGCCCCGAAGGCAGAGGAAGCCCCCCTCCCCCCCGCCAGCCCGGCTCTGCCCCCGAGGCCTGTCTCCGCTCACAAGGTGTTCCCTCGCCGTCCCGGGTCGCCTCGGAGCTGTCCCGCGGTCCCGTGTGCCGGTGTCCTGGGGCCCCCGTGCTCGGAGGGGGGCGTTTCTGCCAGAACAGTGAGCGGCAGGAGGTCAGCGTGGCTCCCGCGGGTGGGCTGAGCCCCCGCGCCCCCGCAGGACCCACCGGCGGCCTGCGCGTAGGGGATGCCATGCTGTGTCAGCACGCTCCGGAGTCTCCTGACCTCCTTCCACAGCTCCCTGTGTGCCTGGAACAGAGCAGGTAAAAGGGCAGTGCCGTGGCCCCGCGGCGGGAGGCCGGCCCAGGGCCGGGGCGCCCTTCCCCGTCTGTACCTCACTGCAGTTCTCCAGGGTCCGGAACGCCAGGGCCTTGGCACCTCCTTCCCGCACGGAGTCACTGTCCTCCGGGGTCTTCGAGTAGCCGGCCTCCTCAAAGAGCGCCCTGAGCAACTTCTCGTAGCCCTGAGGGTGGTGGAAGAGGGAACCCCCAGCTCCTGGCCGCCCTGTGCCCGGGCAAGGGGGTGCCCGCCTGGCGCCTCACCTGGGACGTGATCAGCTCGTCAGCCAGGTCCTGTTCCACCTGGTCCCACCTGTGCTGCAGGGCGGCCGGCAGGGCCGGGTACACTGCAAGCGACCCAGCAGACGGGGGCTTAGCCGAGCGCCTCTGCCCCCCCCCTCCCCCCCGCATCCCTGGGGCGGCCCCCCCGGGGCCCACCTAACAGGGAGTGCGGGTGGCAGACCAGAGGCGTCTCGAAGGTCAGCGCGTAGACGCAGGTGCTGGGCTCAGACACGTGTGCCAGGCGGTTGCTTTTCCCACAGGTAAGCTCCACCTGTGGGAGAGCCTTGGTGGGCAGGTGGGGGGCGAGGAGCCTGCCCCCTCCCCCCGGGGTCCCCCCAACGCGGGCCCACCTTGCTCTGCCGGCTCCGGGAGCGGCAGGAGTCGCCGTCCCTCATCCACATGCCCTTGAAGGTGTTGTTAGAGATCTCCCACTCGTGCCAGATGCTGGGGGGGGGGGGGGGGGAGTGGGGGGGGCGGCGGGGGGGGGGGGCCGCCAGCGGGGGGCCCCTGTCGGGGGGGGGGGGGGTCCCCGCGAGCAGCCGGCGGCCCCTCTCACCCCAGGATCCCGCTGTAAGCGTTCCAGCGGAAGGTCTGCTCGTGCTGCGTCACGTTGTGGAAGGGGCACAGCTCGTACTTGTACCTGCGGGCACAGCGGCGTCAGGGGGGTCCCGGTGCCCGTCCCCGCCGGCGGCGCCCCGCACTCACGTGGACTCCACCAGGCTGAAGCACTTGCCGGAGAGCCTGAAGAGGTGCGCGGGCCCTGGAAGAGAGCGCGACAGTCGAGTCCGGCGGGGCGCCCGCGGCTGGGACTCGGGACAGGAGCACCGGGGCCCAGTGAAGCGACCTCCGAGGGCGACAGCGGGCACCCTGCAGCTGGCAGGCTGGCCTCCGTCCGGCCTCGGGCTCGGGCGGAAAGGGGGGCGCTGAGACTTCCTGCCGCCGGGGGACAACGGGGAAAGGAAGACGGGCGAAAGCAGCCGCGCGCTCACGGGTCATCGACGAGGAGCCTCCGCACAGAGCCCGGGTCGCAACAAATCCCTACCCGGGGACACAGGGCCTCATCTAGGGGAACGGTGACAGAGCGGTCCCAGCAGAAGCCCATAGGGCTCTCTGGGAGTAAAGGCTTCTAAATGTACTAGAAGAACCGGGACCCAGGCGGACACAAGCACAGGGGACAGCGGGAAGGAACGCCGGAGCAGACGGCGGAGACGAGGGCTCGATGCCACTCCGGCAGAAGGAAGACAAGCCATGGGGCGGGGTCGCAGCACGGGGGTCCCCACGGGAGGGCTCGGATGGGCCGAGCGTCTGGGAGGACCAGAAGAAAGTCCCCAGTGTGACAGAAGAGGGGAACTCCGAGGAGGACAGGCCCAGACCCTCGGCAGACACCCAAGGGTGACAAGAACTGAGGCCCGTCGGGGGACCCAGCCTGCAGCCTGGAAGGCGGCGCAGTGAAGGACGCGGCCGTCAACCCACCCGCCAGGCGGACGGGGGACGGCGGAGGGGACCCGGTCCCCACAGGGTGCCCTCCCCTTGGAACGGTGAAGGCGAAGTCACGGCTGCGGCACAGAGCCGGGATGCTTGCCGTCCCGACCTTGTCAGTCTACCGAATGTGGAAGGTGCATCACAGAACCATCACACGTCTTTGCTGGTGGGTCCCCGGCGTCTGAGGAGGGGAGCCTGAGACGGACAGCGGAGCTGGGGGGGGGACACGGATTTTGTCCGTGACTCAAACTGACGAGAAACTGCAATCAGATCTAAATAACCTGATGTTATGAACCCCCAGAGTGACAGCAGCGTCACAAGGGAGGAAACGGACAAAATACACTGTTTCCTGGGAGTCCTTCCTTATCGACACGTCCAAGTGAAGGAATTAACTATCCATCTGGTCAAAAGGCACAGACCGGCCAAGGAGAGGAGAGCCCTCAGAGAGGCTCCCGTTGGCTGTGAGAGTCAGGAGAGAGAGGGCCGGGGCGGCCACACGGCCACCGGAGCGACCATATGCCCCAAACGGTCAGGAGAGACAACGGGTGTTCTGTTCTGAATAAACCTAAAAGGACTAAAACGCCACTTTCTGATCACAACGGAAACCAGAAATCAACAGCAGAAGCAGGAGGCTCAGAGTCCAGGTGCTGAGAGGGGGCCGGGCGTCTCGGGCACGTTCAAGTACGCGCTCACACCCGTGACCTAGCTCTCACACTCTCAGCACTAAAACGAGCACACGAGACACAAAGCTGGCAGAAGAAAGAACACGAAAAGCAGTAAAAGCCAACACTGCTTCTTTAAAAAGCTCCCCAAGATCCTAAGTGTTTCACTAGACTGACGAAAACACACACACGAGCGCTGAAACCCCTAAAACCAGGCAGGACGTGGGAAAGCTGCCAGTTTGGCTGAACGACGGCTACCGGAATACCGAACGAGCCGGCCGCCAACCGATCGATCACCTATGCGAAACAGGCAGTTCCTAGGAACGCACCATTTATCAGTCCTTCTCAAGGGTCCCCAGGCCACAGAAGAGCGGACCACACGCTGCTTCACGGTGTGGGGCCAGCGTCACCCCGAACCCAAAGTCAACAAGTCACAAGGAAACCACGGTCCAATATCCACTCCGAACAGGAGTGCAAAAAAACCTCCACGAAACACTAGCAGACTGATTGCAACAAAGCATTGAAAGGTTCCTACGTCGTCACCACGTGGGGTTGATTCCTGGAACGTGAGGATGGTTCAAAATACAACAATCAAGGTAACAACACGATCCACTACCAGACCCAGGGGGGACCCCACGGCCACGCGACTGTTGCAGAAAAAGCACCTGACAAAATTCAACCCTCTTTCATGACACAAAGCCTCCACAACCAAGGAAACTGCCACCGACGCAGAAGCCGTACGGGCAGACCCCACGGCTGACCTCAGACGGAACGTGGGCAACACCCAGCGCCTTCCTCCTCCCTTCGGGTGCTCTTCGCCGTCGACGCCGCACTCAAGTTCTACCACAGCGATCAGGCGAGAAAGAAAAGGCATCCAAACTGGAAAGGAAGAAAGAACGACGTGGCCACATTAGCAGACGACATGATCGCGTATGTAGAAAACCCTAGTGGGGACTCCTGGGCGACTCAGTCGGATCAGTGTCTGACCCTTGACTTCAGCTCAGGTCACGATCTCACGGATTGTGGGACCGAGCCCTGCGTCAGGCTTTGTGGTGACAGCAAGGAACCCGCTTGCGACACTCTGCATGCCTCCTTCCTCCCCAAAATAAACAAAAAGGGAAAAGAAAGAAAAGCAAACCCTAGAGTCCACAAAAATCTGTGAGCAAAGGGGCAAGATACAAAGTTGACGCTGAAGAACGATGTGTGTTTTTCTACACTGACAACCACCCAAAAAGGAAATTTAAGACAACGGTTCCATTTATAACGGTACCAAAAAATACATCTATTTTGGAATAAACCGAAGAGGCAAAATACTTGTACAGAGAAAACTGCAAGATAGCACCTAAAAAATTAAGCATGTAAATAAATGGAATAAATGGAGAGAGACCCTGTGTTCACGGATAGGACGATTTAATATTAAAATGTGAATACTCTCCTAAATGACTTAATTGAGGGCAATCCATATCAAAATCCCAGGAACGTTTTCTTCTTTTTTACAGAAATGGTAAAACCCATCCTAAAATTAAAACAGAATCTCAAAGAACCCCAAACAGCCCAAACTATCTTGAAAAAGAACAGCTGAAAAAATCCCTTATTTCAAAACTTACTGCAAGACTACACATTAGAGCAGTGCGACCCTGGCTTAAAGACAGACAGGTGCAGCGACAGGACAGAAGATACCTCATAAATAAAGTCTTGAACATACATCCATATGGTAGGATGTGGGTGCCAAGACCATTCAGCAGGGAAGAGACCGTCTTCTCCATAAATGGTGCTGGGAAACTTGCACGCACACAAGGATGACGCTGGACCCTTACTCTACACCGTACACAAAAATACCTCGGGGCGCCTGGCGGGGGGGCAGCCTGTTGAGCACCCGACTCTTGACTTCAGCTCAGATCACGATCTCATGGTTTGTGGGATCGATCAGGGTTTGTGCTGACAGCATGGACCCTTCTTGGGATTCTCTCTCTGCCCCTCTCACACACGTACTCTATCTCAAAAATAAACAAACATTAAAAATAAACATTAAGGGGCGCCTGGGTGGGTCAGTCGGTTGAGCGTCCGACTTTGGCTCAGGTCATGATCTCACAGCTCTTGAGTTCGAGCCCCACGTCGGGCTCTGTGCTGACAGCTCGGAGCCTGGAGCCTGCTTCTGCTTCTGTGTCTCCCTCTCCCCCTAACCCACTCGCATTGTCTCTGTCTCTCTCAAAAATAAACATCAAGAGGGGCGCCTGGGTGGTGCAGTCGGTTAAGCGTCCGACTTCAGCCAGGTCACGATCTCGCTGTCCGTGAGTTCAAGCCCCGCGTCAGGCTCTGGGCTGATGGCTCGGAGCCTGGAGCCTGTTTCCGATTCTGTGTCTCCCTCTCTCTCTGCCCCTCTCCCGTTCATGCTCTGTCTCTCTCTGTCCCAAAAATAAATAAAAAACGTTGAAAAAAAATTTTTAATAAAAAAAAAATAAACATCAAGAAATAAAAATTAAAAAAATAAAATCTATACGTACGATGGAGTATTATTCAGCCTTCACAAGTTCATCCTGACACCTGTTCAAACAGAGACGAACCTTGGAGACCTACGCCAAGTGAGCCACACCGGTCACAAAAAGGCCAGCACAGGACTCCACTTACGTGAGGTCCTTAGTCCGAGTGGCTCTAACAAAAGACCACACCCGGGGTGAGTTCTAAACTAATTTTTCACAGTTCAGGAGGCTGGAAGTACAGATAGGGCACCAGCACGGTCAAGTTCTGGTTCACGGGGACAGGGGGAGGCACCTCTGACGTCCCCCACGTGGTGGAAGCGGCTGGAAAGGTCTGGCGCCTCCCTTGGGAAGGGAAGAGGGTGCAGGTCCCACTGTCGAGGGCTCCACCCCTGTGACGTAAGCACCTCTTAATACCATCAGTTTGGGGGTTCAGGCATCAACGTACAAATGTGGGGGGGGACACATCCAGACCACAGCAGCTATCTAGAGCAAATTCAGACAGAGGTAGAAGGTGGTGTTGGGGCTGGGGCAGGGGAACAGGGGCGTGGCCTTTAAGTAGTTTCAGTTCCAGAAGATGAGACGTTTCTGGAGACAGATGGTGGTGCGCACAACAACGTGAATGTGCTTCATGTTCCCGCACTGTAGGGACTGGTTAAAATAGGAAATTTTATGTATATTTTGCCACAATGAAAAAGAGAATTCTTACTATGCTTGGAAAGAGAAGTATCAGAATGCGGAATCATAAACAGAATCCAAACGGTCTAGGGGCGCCCAGCTGGCTGAGTCAGAAGAGTAGGCGACTCTCGATCTCAGGGTCGTAAGTTCAAGCCCCATGATGGGTGTACAGAGGACTTAAAAATAAATGAATAAACCTGAAAAAAAAAAAAAAACCAGTAGAGTATTGACATAAGAACAGACACGGAGATGAATGGAACAGAGAGCCCAGAAATAAACACGCACATACGGTCAATTAACTCACGAGAAGGAGCCGAGAATCTCCAGTGGGGACAGGACGGTCTGTTCAATAAATGGCGGGGGACACCGGACCACTACCTTACACCACACGCACAAATTAACTCAAAAAGTATTAAAGACGTGAATGTGAGACCTGAAACCATGAAGCTCCTGGAGGAGAA